TTTTTTTTTTATGTGTCACAACTATCCTATCAACATGACGATAAATAACTCTATAAAGAGACTTTATTCATCAAGGTCATTTCTTTTTTATTTCACGAACAAATACAATAATATTTGATTATATTTGTGTGAGAGAGAGAGAGAATACAAAGAACGACAGGATCCATGTATAATTGCGTATAAACAAGCGTTCTTGTTGTTTTGAAGTATAGAAGAAGTTATTTAATGGCGTCGATACTTTTTTTTTTTTGATAAGAATATTTAACAAGTTCAAGGCCTTAAAGATAAATGTAACACTTTAAAATGAATTATTTTCATAGATTTCTAATATTTATACTTGATAACATTAGACTTTATTATTTTATAGTCGTAATAAAATTGACTGATCAATATTTTATTGAATAACTTTAAACATAATAAACACAGGAAAAAAAATCATTCACACATGAAACGAACAAATTTCTTTTTTTTTTTTCTAATAGAACACATCTATGTTTTTGTTTTTTCATATACTGATATGCAGTCGCTAAGCGATAAGCATGAAGGCCAGCTTCATTAGATTAAAAAATACATTGATGTATAAAGTTTCATTAACCTGTAAAGATTATATTTGGTTGTATATGATTTTCTAAATATCAAAAACAAAAATTATCAAAATGACATTAAAAATAAAAAGTTAAATGTACCAAAAATACAACGTGGTCGTTCCGAAGGCATCCATCGACCATGATTACATGTTAAACCTGATGGACCATGAAGAATATAACCTAAAAATATATAATTATCAATATCAATAAAATTTCTAAAAATCAACATACCTGAATTACATTCGAATTCAAGCGTTCTACTATGTCCAACATTTGGTATATACGAACGAAATTCACTACGAATTGGAAGAGATGATACACGTTGATCTTTTAAAACAACATAAATTCGACCATTTGCAAGTGGACCTGGATTAGTACAGAAAACTAAAAACAAAAAAAATATTTTGTTGAAAATAATTTTCTAAAACTAAAAGATTTTGCGTCTAAGAAAAAAAAAAAAAGGTCTAAAATGTGTCATTTTAATCTATATCATAAAATTCTCTTATCATTATTTCTTATTTTTTTTCTGCTATGTCATATATCAATCTAATTGATTATCATTAACCCTTCAATATTAATCATAATTTGTATACACAATTACAACTCGTATTTTTTTTGTTTTTTTTTTAGAATCTTTCGATTTACTTAGACCTTTGCATATCAGTTTTATCGAAGCTTATCATTTGATAATAAATTTTGATGTGTCAAAAAAACAAAAAAACAAATTATTTGATAATTTGAAATTTCGTGCGCAATTCAAAAAGAAAAAAGCAACGTCATTCTCAAATAATCATCAATATATGTTTATGAAAGTTTTATCAAAATTATTCTATTATTGGAGACAATTCAGATAGAGAAAATATTGATCTCATATTCAGAATTGTAATGGTTTTTGATCAAAATAACTAAACAAGGAAAAAAAAAGACACTTGTCAGTACGAAACTCATAAACTTTGACTGTTATAAATAGAAAAAGGTGTGTCGTAAATTTTAATCCCTTTCAAGTAGTACTCCTTTGTTATATATTTTTTCGGTAGAATAGGCTAATATTTATAGCATATATCTAGATCTATTCTACGCTAGAATTTCAGCTTTCTATTTATTACAATCACAGAGATACAAGTAACTGAAAATTCATTGGAATTTTTTGAAAAAATGGGTGGGCTAGAATAAACGGCTGTGTTTTATATTTTATTTTCTTATCATCTAATAAATTATATTAAAAACCAAAATATATCACAAGATGTAACGTGAAAAGCTCTACAATCTACATGGTAAAGCTTATCTTAACTGTGTACTTTTTTGTTTTTTAAAAAAAAAATGTGCGACCACTTTTCGCAGTGTCGAAAATTGGTTGCACAGAATTTTGCTTATTTTGAAAAAAAAAAGGTACACAGTTAAGATAAGCTTTACTGTGTAGATTGTCGAGCTTTTCACATTACACCTTGTGATATATTTTGGTTTTTAATATAATCTATTAGATGATGAGAAAATAAAATACAAAACATAGTCATTTATTCTAGTCCACCTCTAATAGATCAATAATATCATCGTCATACTGATTGGCACTTACAATAGGACTGTTTCACTACATTAAATATCAAAACTCGCAATATTTAGACTAATAATTACAATCTACAATTATAGAATATTTTGAAAGATTCTAGAATGATCTAATCAGAGCAAGACTATCTAATAGTACCTATAGGCAAAATTTCAAGTTGAAAGTCTTTTTTTTCGGAAATGCCTTGTTCTTAGAAACAGTTTCATTAAAGCAACCATAGGATCGAATCTTTTTTAGCTTGATGTAGCTTTAATATGAAGCCGAATGGAGTCCGACAGTTAGATATGTTCCCTGGTAAGCATTGTTATTACTAATGCGCCTTTTTCTACTGCTGCTGCCAAGAAAACATACCAAATGATCTTTGGCTTTCCTCATCCCATCCCCGGTTGTTAGGAAGGAAACCATGAAAACTTTTTCTCTTCAAAAATATATACATGAGTTCCACAAAAAGAAAAATGTTTTTTTTTTTTGTTTCGTTTTAATTACTTGGTAAACATTTTGGTGGTTGTTTAGGTAGCCATTGTCCAAATTGACATGTTAATTTTGCTAAATGATTATTTTCAATTTTATAACCTGGAAAACAACGATATTTTGCTATAGAACCATGTTTTGTTGAATGAAATATAGTTCGACCATTTGTTATTATTGGTGGATGTTCTTTACATTGTTTTGGTGTACAATGTGGTTGATGAGATAATTTTCCATCTTCTAGACATTCAACTTTAGTTGATTCCATCATTGGTTGATAATCTTCCAAACATGTATAGAAAAATGATGAACCTTGTTCAATTAATGTACCCGAGGATATTGTTGTATTGATAATATTACGTACAAAAAGCATATGAGGTACAGTACATTTAACTGAAAACAAAAAAAAAATAAAATAAAATAAAATATTTATTTATAATAGTTTTGAAAATTTACTTGTTTGACATATAGGTTGTATCGAAAGATTTCCATCAATACAACTTATTGTTTCATTAAGTAATAATGGTAAACTATTATTTGTACATGTATAAGAAATTTTTTCTCGATGTTGATAAAATGTTTTTGAAAATTTTATTTCATTTTTATTATTTACATGACAACCTAAATAAAAAACATAATGTTTGTTTGGTTTTTTTGTTTTTAGTTTATCATTTTATATTTTACCATTATAACATATTGGTTTTTGTGGTAAAATTTTTCCTCGTCGACAAAAAATTTTTTGATGATATTCAGAATTTTCACATATATATTCTAAATGATTACCATCATGAATTTTTTGTATATATGAACGAAGATTTATATAACGTGCATTTCGTGGTAATGATGGAATTGAACAAGATATTGATTCTATGAATAAAAAAAAATAAGATGAAATTAAGAAAATATTATATAGTAAAAATAAATAAATAAATAAACGAACTTTCACATTTTGGAATTTTTGGTACCCAACTTCCATTTATTTGACATTTTGAGATACGTGAACCTCGTAATGTTAAATTTGATGGACATTGAAATGTAATTATTGAATTAATGAGATATTTTAATGAATTGTTAACTGATAATGATTCAATATAGCCATTAAAATATTTTTGAGGATCATCACATGTTATTGCTAAAAATTTAATATTTTTTAAATAAAAAAAAAAAAAAAAAAACTTCGAAAATAAATAACAACTAACGTTCACATGTTGGTGGTATTGGTTGCCATTGAGATGAAACACATTTTAGTATTGATGGACCTTGTAATTGATATCCATCTTGACAAATATATTGAATAGTTTCATTTGTTGTACGATCTGGTTGAATTATTTCACCATGACTGACTATTGGTGGTGCACTGCATGATTTTTCTAAAAAATATCACAATCATTCTGTATTATTTTCTTTATCAAATGTTGATTCTAAGAATTGAAAGAATTCCTATACAGTTTTAAGATGAATGACTAAAGTTAAGTTTGTTCTATTAAAATATAGAGATCGGATCTCGAGAAAATTTAGTCTTACAAGCTTCAATCCTAATCTTTTTGTCGCATTTTCGTAAAAATTAGGATTTAATTCAATGGAATATTTTTTTTTCCAAAGTTGTAAATTCAAAGTTTCACTATTGTAGAGATAACTGAGACGAAAAATGAATGTTTATTTTTGAGAATTTTTTTTTTTTTGTAAACATCATAGCTTCATTTAATCTATTGTTTGATTTATATTTCATAATTAGAAATGATTTGCAATCTTTTAAAGTTCTATAATCAATGTTTTCTCTCTAGAAAATATAATTTATGAGATATTATTTAATTTTTTTCTTTGATCTATTCCTATCCAATTGAACAAAAAAAAAATCAATGTTACTAATAATAGAATAGTCAAAAATTTAGATCAAATATTTCTTTTATTTACTTTGACAAATAGGCATAGTTCCCGACCATAAACCATTTTCTTGACAAGCGCGTGTTGTATCTTTTCCAATAAGTTCAAACCCATCATTACAAAAAAATGCAATTATATTTGGATAATCAAATCGTTCACCACTTAAAAATCCATTACGTAATATACCCGGTGAACCACAATCAATTGCTATTAGGTTTCCAAAATCAATAATAATAATCAACAACAACAACAAAAAAAAAAAAAAGAATTCATTACTTACGTGTACATTTTAATGTTGCAAATGTCCATTGACCCAAAAACGTACATTCAGATGTTGTTGTACCAATTCTATATAAATTATTCAAAATAACAAAAATAATTTTTTTCATTTTCTCTTAATCTTACCCAACATAACCAATTAAACAAGTATATTTAACTGAATAACCTGCATGAAATGTTGTAACCGTACTTGGAACGTCATTGACCGCATTTATTATATCCGGTGGTCGATTACAAAAAACTAATAAAATTAATTCATCAAATATACAGTATGTTGCTCTCTAATTATGTCATAATTTTCTTCAATTCATTTAACAACAGTATAACAGGTCTAGACTTCTTTATATATAATATGATGACAACAATGTCTTATGCTTATCTTGATACTCATATACATGCACGCAATCCTCTTGAACTTTAATGTATGTATATATATATATATATATGTGGGTACAAAGAAAAGGAAAAGAAAGCCGAATCAGATTCAACAATCGAGACACTATGAATAATTAGAAGGTCATCAACTTGACTTTTGATGAACTTCATTCATTAATTAATAATATCATATCACATCTTTTCAAGTTCAAAATTCAATTAATATTACCTTCTTTAGCACAATATGGTATGGTATCTGATGATCCCCACCACATATCACCTTGACAATGACGATATTTTGAACCTTCAAGTATATATCCTTTATTACATTCGTATGAAGCACGTGAACCAAATTTATTTCCATTTGAATATGTTATACGACCATGTTCCGGTGGTGTTAAAAATGGACAACTAATACCTATATTTCAAATACGATAGATTTTATGAAAAAATAAATAAATAAATAAGACTCACCTCGTTTAACACATGACATTCCACAATCATAATCACATACACATGAACGATATCGACTTCGACAATCACTATCATCAAAACATGATTTAAAACATTGTCTTTGTCGAATTGCTTCACGTTTACGTGGACAATAGGAAAGATCACGAATCCAATAGCCTTAAAATAAAAAGGTTTCAATAAACTTCATTTTATCACATCTTTAAAAATAACATTAGTTCATATTTTATTTCGACTCATGTTCAAATGCTCTCTATTCCATATTGACCTTGCTTTTACATTCATTTACTCAATGAAAACAAACGTTGATTGCCACTAAATCACTTCAGTTGATACCTACATGTTAAATGAAGTTAACACTCTTAGCATTTTTATTATTCTAACCTGAACTCCTTGAAAAGATAAGAAGAAGAAGGAAAAAAATTTCTACAATACCTTGACAGTAACTTGTCAATTCCCATAGAAACAATAAAACTACTAAGAAAAATCGTCGATAATAAAAGCACATATCTGTTGTTCTTGTTTTCATCATCATCATCATCATCATCAAATCATCTAAAATATGAGTTATTTTTTTCTTTTTACACTGAACGGTTTTGTTATATTTATTCTTAAGATGATATAATTAAAATAACTTAATACCATGTTCATACTTTTAATCTCTACTTTCTGTACGTGTTATTTGACAAAAAAAATCCAAGCATGATATCAAATATGTCTTTCATATTCAGTATAAATCTATGACATAAGATCAAATATTAAGAACAAGACAGCAACTACAATCTGTATGTATATATATATATCAAAAGAAGAAAACTGATGGTCATTTATTCTTATGCTTGACCATTTTGTAAACATCTGTTACGTCCTTGCCGATTGATATATATTATATTATAGGAATTGTGAGAAAAAAGAAAGACTATTGAACATAAATGAATTCTATATAACAAATGAGTATTGTATCTGCTTAAAGCAAAGAATAGTGATTAGTCAAACTAGAAACAAATGATTACGAAAGAAATAATATAACAAAAAAAAAAAAAACTTCTTGATAGAAATTATTTAAAATAATATAATCTTATGTATATAAACTTACTTTACATATACCATCACCTGTCATACCTATAACATAATTGTTCAGTATATTCACATATATGTATGTATATGCAA